CGGGTCCCCCCCCCTGGCCCCGCCGTCCCTCGGCCGGGAGGAGGAGGAGCGGTCGCTGTTCTGAGAGGCCGGAGGCGTCCGTGGCAGCCCGGAGCCCGCGCCAGGACGTGCCCCGCTCAGTGGCCCGCGTAGACGCGGGTAAAAATAACCTCCGCCTGGAGCCGCGAGGCTCCCCGGACAGCAGCCAAGGAACAGCTGTTGCCTGGGTGTCAGCTCCGGCCGCTTGTCGTTCGTGTCATCCCGGGTATGGATATGCAGACATCCAGATTTCTCCTCCCGCTTTGGTTTTTGGAGAGTTAGTCTCCAGTAGAAAACTGTCTACTATCTGATTGGTCTAAAATAATTTTTAAAAATGCTTTATCAAGTAAAACCTGATCTATATTGTAAACCTGTAACTTAAGAATTGTTTAAAAGGCTATTTTTCCCCCAATCAGGCTATACATATGTTATACATATACTTGAATATGTGTGTTTAAATATACGTACACATACCCATAGTTACTAGGGTGGTTTGGTATAATAAAAATAATTTTCATTGTCACTTTTTCTTTTAACTGTTATTTCCCCTTAAAAAAATAAAACCTATAATGTGATAGTTTCTTTTGAAAAAAATCTCATTCTTCAACTTTATTTAAAAAATAAATACTAGTCAAGTAGCTAACATTCTGTTTGCAGAAAATCTTTTTTTTTCTTGGAAAAATTTCCTTGGGTAATTAACTGCTCTTAGAGACCAATTAGATGTATATCACTGAAAGAATCATTCTAAGCGACATAAAATATAGAAGACATGAAATCTGCCTTCAAAGAGTTTAAAGTCCAATTGCCTAATAAATGCAGAATAATCAGCTAAAGACAATAGGCAAACTATTGTAACAGTAAAATAAAATGAAACAAAACAAAATAAGAATGAGTGAAAGTGGAAGGAGACAAAGCTTGGAGTTGTTGAGGTTATGATTGTTCCTTGGCTTTCCTGCTTTCCTTCCTAATTTATCAGCTTCTGTTTTAGACAGTTCTTTTCTAATCTACATCACCTATTGATGTTCTTGAGATTCTGCTGAGATTATATTCTTGCTTCACACAAAACTGAGCAATGTCATCCATCCCTCAATCTCCACTTCAAAGTCAAGCATTTATGTCTCCAGCCCTGCACTTAACAGAATTTTCCACAGGCACCTCAAACTCAAAAATGTTTAAAACTAGATTGCATCATATTTACCATTAAAAGGGTTACAACTGTCCATTCACCTAGTTGACCTAGCTAGAAATTTGGGAGCTGGGCCAATTTAGGGGTGCTCAGAAGGGACCCCCCATTTGGCTTAATGCTGTGCTGTCCCAGGCTTGATATTTGGACAAAGAAACCCACATCATCTTTTTGCTCTGGATTCCACAAATTATGTAGCAGGTCCTACTTGAGAGTCATTATAGATCCCTCTGACATACTCACATCCACTCAGTCACCAAGTCTTGTCAGTTCTGCCTCATAACTCTGCTCCACAATCTTCATCTCCAGTGCCAAAGCTCAGTCAAGCCCTCATTTGAGAAACCTGCTGTTGATATCTTCATCTCTAAACTTCTATTCCAGTTCATCTCTTTTTGGTTTGATTTTGCTATAATTCAAATTCTATTGTATCACTAACCCATTTTAAATCTTAAATAGTTCCCCATCACCTTCAGGATAAAGTCCGTCATTCTTGACATGGTACTTACGTCCATTCATTTACGGGCCCCTAACCACATCTCTCATCTCAATTTTTGCCTATTTCCTATCCATGCCTGTATATATTTCCTATAAATGCATATATACATTTTTTATATACGTCCCTCTTCACTCTCCACATAAAGCTACCAAAATTAGTTTGTTCAGAAATGACCTGTGCTCAAATTTTCCATGCTGTTCCCTCTTTCTAGAATACCTTTCTCTGTACTTTTGCCTGGCTAACTCCTGTTTATCCTTCAAGATTCAACTGAAACCTCAGCTTTTTAAAAAAACCTTCGCTGATGCCCCCTTCTCGCCAGGTAGAGTTTCATTCCTCTTGTGTACCCTTTCAGTATCGTGTGCATTGCTCCACTACAGCACTTGCCATGTTAAACTGCGATTGGTAGTGACCACGTCTGTCTACCCTATTTGCCTCTAAGTAAGCATATTGAGGGTAGGTGCTATGTCTTGCTCATTTTAGTAGTCTGAGCATGTGGCATATAGTAACTCTTCAATAAATGTTAAATGCATTAAATGAATATAATAATGTACATGAATTGGCAGGGAAGAGTAAAGAATGTATCCCAAGAGGGATAAATTTTGCCCTATCTTTTCTGTAGACCTATTTTCAAATTCTAGGTAAGACTTACATCGCCCATCTATCAGCACTGTTACAAGTGTCTGTGAAAAGTAGAAAAAGGCACACCTCCCTTAAGGTATTTTACTGCCTTCTGAGAAAAACTACCAAAATGCACATTGAGCTCTAAAATGCCTGCAGCGTCAGTGTATCCTCATAGATGTTGCACTTCATGCAGATACACAACCTACACAACTGTATTCCACCAGCCTGATTTGTGATAAAAATCTGTTAAGTAGATTAAATTCTCTTCTATAGAGCCTTCTTTACTGCTTTGTGGAATTTTAAAATTTTTATCTGCCACATTACTCACAATGATTATTCCTGACTTTTTTCATAAGCCCTCAACCAGCCTCCTATCCTTGCCACCATAAGATCCCAGTAGCCCTGTCCTCTCTTTCTTGGCAGATGACTTTGCCTTTAAGATTCCTAGGAAAAAGAAGAATCTTTTTCCCTCCTTGGTGTGAACCATTTCAAGGAAATGAGAGCCCACCCTTTCAGACTGTCCTTTTCTCCTGTACTCTGTATCACTTTCCTGGCTCCTGAAGGATTTTGTTTCTCACATTATCCTTCCCTACTTTGAGATCTTTGGTCTTTGCCTCTCTTGGCATCTTTCCCTCTACCATCAAACATATAAGTCCTTCCCCAAATTGGAAGTGGGAGGAAGTACTAACAACAACAACAATAACAAAAGGGGCACAGTTTTCTTCTGACAGTACATAACTCTTTAGCTACAGTTTTCTCTCTCCTTTTTTCTCCTTCTGGACTCAAAAATACATGTATACATGGTGGCATCATTTCGGGACTAATTCCTACTTACGAATTTGCTACTCAAAGTTCATCTTATGGAGGCAGTTTCTGACAAATCAATTTCAGCATTAGTGCACATCCTTGATTTTCTTACCGTTCGTTGTATTTCTCATTTTCCACTGTTCCTGCACATGTAAAGTTCCCCAAGTCTACATCCTTGGCTCTTCTCTTCCCTCTATACTGTTTTTCACAGTAAACTGATATGGCCTCATAGATTTAACTTACCTCGAGGCTGAGGACTCTCAAATTTGTATCTCCTGACAGTCCTTCTCACTGACTTTGAGGGATGTGTTTATTTCTCATTTAGTTCAAATGCAACATATGTAGGTCATCCTGTCTTTCCTCCCACTGATTTCCACAGCTTGTATTGTCTAGGCTATTGATTTTGGCCCCTGAACATATAGAATCCTGTGTCGTATTGCTAATTATTTCATGTACTCAGGTCACATTTTTAATATCTAGAAGATAAGGACCTTGTATTTCTTTTGTATTCCTATTTATGTTATTAGTGTGCTTAATAAATACCTTTTTAATAAATGAATTTTCTCAAGTTCTAAAAAACATATAAATTGGATAGTATCCATTTCTACCCATTCCTTTTGTCTTCATAATATACCAGGATATTACCTATAGTGTCATTCAACCATAATCTAAGTTAGAGGTTCTCAAACTTTTTGGTCTCAGGTTCTCTTTATACTCTTAAAAATTAGTGAGGATCCCAAAGAGCTTTTGTGTATATGAGTTAAGTTCATTGATATTTACCATATTAGAAATTAAAACTGAGAAATTTTTAAACACAGGAATATATAAACACACATGCCATTAGCTATTAGAGCAATATCATCACATACAGTCATGTAGCCTCTAGACACTCCACTGTACATTCATGAGAGGAGAGTAACAAAGGAAAATAACATCTTAGTGTTATTTTGAATATAGTTTTTACCCTCCAGACCCCAGAGAGAGTTCAGGGTACCCCTCCAGGGATCCCCAGGCCATACTGTGAAAACTGCTGGTCTAGAATAATGTTAGCTTTAGCCAATTGGAATGACAAATAACAAAGTGTGTCACCCTTTCCAAATACTTTTCATATAAATGAATATACATAATTTAAAAAATTATTATAAATCATTAATAAAAACAAGATTATGCACTGTAGATGTATATGTCAACTCTCCCCCAAATGGGCTAAGTGTACGCTTTACTGAAGTGGGACTGTTCACAACTGAGAGCAGAAATGTGTATCGAGTATGTTTTCACACTGAAAGTTCTTCTCTGCTACCCCTCTAAGCACAGTAATGTCCTTACTTAGAGCCTGCAACTCAATGTGACCTGAATATTAATGGAAAATATATTACTAACCAATTCAGCTTTCTTTGATTATAAATATGCAATGCACTTAATAAATAAATGCATCAAAAAGAGAGAGTATAGCTGTTCCTATGTGTTATACTTTGTTTTAGCAAAGTTCCAATGGTCCTGTAAAGAAGTCCATGCGTGAGAAGGCCGTCGAGAGAAGGAATGTCAATAAAGAGCACAATAGTAACTTTAAAGCCGGATATATTCCAATTGATGAAGATCGCCTCCATAAAACGGGCTTGAGAGGGAGAAAGGGCAATTTAGCCATCTGCGTGATTATCCTCTTGTTTATCCTGGCTGTCATCAACTTAATTGTGAGTATATAGTACAGAATATTCTTTTTAATAACCATGGGGAATTTTTCATCTATTTTTCAGTGAAATCATAGACTTTGTTTCTATAATTTCTTTTGGGACCCTCTTACTTTCTGCTTTTCTACACATGTTTTATCTCTTACTGTGTTTTAGTGAATATGTATAAAAAACCTAGTATGCTAATATTGCCATGTATTATGTAGAAAAAAATGTTCATGGATTCTTTTAAAAGGGTATGATCAACTCAATGGAAGAGAGTTGATCCTTTGCCTAGATTATTTTGTTGTATTCACCTCTCCTAAAAAATATTATTCTCTCTGTTTTCATTCAACTCTTTCCATATTTAGTCTTGTCTCATCAGCTAGATTTTAAAATTGTAAACCCGAGGATGGCAGTAGAATGTTATATTTTATAGTTTTAAGCCTCCGTTGTCAGAAAATGAGTGGATCTGGTAGACTGGTTTACACTAAGGTGCTGAGGACCTGGCATGTTGCCTTTTCCAAAGGTATTTGCTTTTTTAATGAAGAAGACTTTTAATCCAAGATTGTAATTATCTGAGGGTTAAATTTGAACCCCTCTGGCATGTGTGTGGATAGATATTTTCAGAGCATGATTATTGGTGCACCTACCACTGATCGTGAATGTGGACTTTGGCAGTTCTAAAGTGATTCCATTTACTTTATTTTTGACTTGTAATACTCTCGAGCCAGTCCTTTGTATTTTATGTACATCTAAAACATTTGTGTCTAATTGTTTACTTAAATTGAAAAGAGCTGATACTTTAAATAGCTTTACTAGGAGCACATATTCTGAATTTATTTTGTAAATTTATTTTATTGAAAACTTTTAATGGCAGAATAAAGATATTCTTATCCCCTTGCTCTCTGAAAAGCTCATCCCAAAGGGAAAATGTCAAGAAACAAATGTCTTGAAAGAAAGTGGGAGTTAACTGAAATCCTAAACCATAATATATGAAGACAAAAAAATCGGAGGAGGAATGGCAAATAATTTATCAGAGAAGACAAACTGCTGTGTGTATGTTGGGAAAAGTGTTGCAGGATGTGTTGGCAAACGTGCTTTGCAAAATCCTGAAAAGCCTCAGGAATTAGAAGTATAAGTACCCTGAAAAGCAGGAGTGAGGCAGGAACTGAAAACAGAGTTTGTTTGAAAAATCTGTGGAAGGAGCCATGAGATCCCAAGCCTTCCTCTGCCTTCCAGCCAGCAGTGAGACAGCCACTTCTCCTAACCCTGCACAAAAATACACCGAACCAGAGAGGATTCTTTCTGCCTGGGACATTGCACAGAGGAGGGTAGGGATGGGTTTCCATATTGAAAGCAGGGAAGTCTGAATCCTGAGCACTGAAGCTCCCTTTCCCAGCCTTTCTTATCTTCATCCTCTACCTCCAGCTCCCTGACACCCCGGGCAAGAGATAACATGGGCAAAATATAAAATACCCTTCTCTGGAGAAAATGAAGCACCTAGAGAAAAGACCTGAAGATATTGACATTTGGCAGGTTCTAGTGAAAAAGCCACATGATCTTCTACTGTGAAGCCTGTTAGTCATAAGCCTCACCCCACACAGAGTACTTTTTGCAACCTCTTTATTAATTATGAACACTAAACTGCCAGGGATCAGTATATTTTTTTTGAAAACTCCAAGAATTAAAAAATTATGATAGAGACCAAAAACATCCAAACCATGGGGAAAGTAGGAATTCAGAGAACTGGAGAAAATGCAATGAATAACAGAAGACTTAAAAAAAAAAACTAACTAAAATCAATCGGTATCTTCGGAGAAATAAAAAGATATTGCACCCATGAAACAAGGATAACATGCCATTAAAAAGGAGCAATTAAAGAATAAGGAACAACTGATAGAAATAGATAGATGATAGATAGGTGATAAAATAAGACAAGATAAGATAAGATGGATATTGGAAGGAAGATAAAGAAAAGGAACTCTTCCAGAAAGTTCAATAAAATTAAAGACTCAAGGAAATGTAACATTCTGTTAACAGTAGTTTCAGAAAGAGAAGAGGGAACACACTGGGGAGAAAGTTATCAAATAAATAAATAAATTCCTGGAATGGATTGAAAACTACCATTTCGGATCCAACAGAATGCATAGAATAGACTCATACCAAGCCCATTACTGTGAAATTTAAGAAAACCAGAAATAAAGAGAAGATCCTAAAATCTTCCAGAGGAAAAAGAAGCAGTTTATTTTGTATAAAGAATACAAAATCAGAGTGGCATTGGACCTCTCAAAAGCAATACTGGAAACTAGAATCAAGAAAGCAAGGCCCTTCAAAATTCATAGAGAAAACAATTTCAAATCTAGAAACCTATATCAAGCTATACTATCAGTCAAATGTGAGGGATTATAAAGACATTTTTTGCCCATGCACACTCACTTCATATACATTCTTTCTAAGGAAGCCACTGGAGGATATGCACTACCAAAAGAAGATATTAAACCAAGAAAGTTGAAGACAAGGATACAGGGAACTGGGTGTCTAGAGGGAAAAGCGGGAGAAAGACAAAAGGAAGTTCCAGTGTGAAAGTGAAGGAAACGTTCATGCTTAGAGCTGCACAGCAGAACCAAAGGGTAACAGCCCAGACGGGAGCAAGAAGACAGGGGTTCCAGAAAGGTTTCCTAGGAGAGAAAAATAGAATTTATTAATTGTCTGAGAGGTTAGACTTCTAGAACGTTTATTGAGAGACATTTGACAGAAATGTTGGAGGGTTTGAAAAGATTTAGTCAGATTTTCAAAAGAAACTAAGTAAGCGAAAGACAAATATTAAACTGAGAGCCACAAAGTACAAGAAAAGAACTGCGATCATAGTACAGTATTTGGCTTAGCAGTGAATAATATTTACATGGTTCTAATACTGAAAATACTGAGCATGGATTTAACCAAAACTTGAGATTGGAGTTGGGGGAGAAGAAATATAAATGAGCTAAAATTCTCATCTGCTAAAATAGGAAATTAATAGATAAAACCTAAAATTGATGAATAGAGAAATGATATACACATATTATTTAGAAATATGAAGATAATTCTAAACAAAATAGCAAAAATTGTTGAAAGTGGTTGTCCCTGGATGAGATATAGAGGGGGTAGATGGAATAAGAAACTGCTTTTTTTATTAAAGAGCTTTTAGCACTTTTTGACTTTTAGCTATTTGCACTTAATACCTAGATAAAAAAATAAAATTCGTTTGTTTATAAGTGGAAAACCAACTGATATGTTCATCTCCCTGATAAAAGAGCTTAGAAAGTGTAATCCTTTGGCAATTATCTTTTCTATTTATTTTCCAGTTATGTTAAATGTATGCTACCTAATTAAGGAATGTAGTCAGCAGTACTGTCATGGCTAAGTGTACAGCCAGGTGGTTGATAATTGGGGATTGTTTCATAAACTATATAAATGTCTAACCAATGTACTGTATACTTGAAACTAATAATAAAATGAAATGCTTTAAAAAATGTATGCCATATATGCTACCTATTAATAGTGTACTTGTTTTCCTTTTTAGATAACACTTGTTATCTGGGCTGTGATTCGCATTGGACCAAATGGCTGTGACAGCATGGAGTTTCACGAAAGTGGTCTGCTTCGGTTTAAACAAGTATCTGACATGGGAGTTATACACCCTCTTTATAAGAGTACAGTAGGAGGAAGGCGAAATGAAAATTTGGTCATCATTGGCAACAACCAGCCTGTAAGTTACCATAGTAATTGAAGGACATTAAAGAAAAATTCTTTGTAAAAACGTAGAGTTGATTATTGGAAATGGATATTTTCCTTTAGAGAAAATTTATAAGTATATTTAATAATACTGTTGGTCTTAGAATTTATTAATATTAGATACTTTCTTAATATTCTAGATTTTGTTCCATGGTAGCACTTTCTGTGAAAGGTATAATTACTATAAGAATACATAATTTATCCTTTTCTTCTCCATATGAGGAAACCATTAAAAATAGCACCTTCCCAGGTTAGAATACCCTCTAATTTCTGGAAGTCTAGGAGAGAATATACTAATCTAATCAGTGGCAGCCCATGCCACATGTCCGCTATAACATGGGTTTTTAACTGCATAGAATGTCAGGGAGGTATCCTTACCTCCCCTGCCCATCTTCAGCCTCGATACGCCTGCCCTGTGACCCATGTATTTGTGCAGAGCAGTATAAGCAAATAAATATAAGCCCTCATTTAAAGAACTCTTCTCCCAAGTGGGTGGAGGAGGGACAGACAAATGCGGTTAAAATTATTTTAAGTTAGTCTATTATTATAAAGTGTTTTTATAATGTTCTTGATGAATTTTGGATGCAGTCTTCTTCAAAAACATATTCATGATAAAGTATATTTCTGAAGATTGTTTTTCAGCAAGGGACAACAAAGCTCAGTGTAGAAAAGAACAAAACTTCTATTACAAGTGACATTGGCATGCAGTTTTTCGACCCAAGGACTCAAAATATCCTATTCAGCACAGACTATGAAACTCATGAGTTTCATTTACCAAGTGGAGTGAATACTTTGAATGTTCAAAAAGCCTCTACTGAAAGGGTATGATTTATTTTCTTTGCTTTATTTATGAAAGAGAATTGTTGTCTAAAGCTACCAAGTGGGAGGGGAGTTTTACTGTTTGATATTGGTATGAAGTAAATTTCAGAACAATGGAAAGGATTAGTTCTAGATGTGTCATTAACTAGCTCATGTGTGATCATTATCAAGTCATCTCTCTTTATCTCAACATCTGTAAACTGTGAATGAAAACACTTGCCATTCATATTTAATAGTTGAAACTTTTACTCTTCTATCTCTGATAATAATTCTCATTTTAATTTAGAAATTCTTTTTACTACCTTTTTTTTTTTTTTTTTGGAATTTTCAGATTACCAGCAATGCTACTAGTGATTTAAATATAAAAGTTGATGGGCGTGCTATAGTGCGTGGAAATGAAGGAGTGTTCATTATGGGCAAAACCATTGAATTTCACATGGGTGGTAATATGGAGTTAAAAGCAGTGAGTATTTTTTAAGAGTTAAAGAGAATTATTAGATTCTTGGGTACATAAGTCTGTATGTGGAATAGTATGCAATTATTAAAAATGGTAATGTAGTTGTATATTTTTGATGTGGAATGATGTCCAAAATGGATTGTGAAGTGAAAGAAAGTTGTAAAACAATTTGTGAAATATCTCATTTTTATTTTTCAGAACGTAAGTATGTTTATAAAAACCTGGAAGAGTACGCCAGATGTCAACAATGATTAGCTATGGGTAGCAGGATAACAGATGATTTTAATTTAATTTCCACTTGCTTGTTATTTTCTAAAAAAATTTTTTTTTACACGATACCTGCATTATTTTAAAAGGGGGAAAAAAACTTCCAAAAGAGAATTCTGGAAGATTAAGTATCCATTTCATGAAGTTGACAGGCTTTTTTTTTTTTGAAGTTACAGATTTTTCATATCTCTTCTTGGATTTTATATCCAGTGATGTGAAAATCAATTAGCAAATATATAAAATGTATTTTATGTATACATCTATTTTAAAATAAAGGAAAAAGATTTTGCTTTTATTAAAGCTGTTGAAAAGTGAGATTTTCTTTGTACTTCACAGATTACATCTGAACTTTAATAGGTAACAAATTTATATATGGGAGCCATAAGTCCAAAAACACTTCACTTACTCACAATTCTGGTCAAAGCATATTTATTCAGAATGTCTTTGGACGCCTGCTGGATGCTACTTAACTAAAGCTAATTAAATTTGTTTTACCAAGCATTAAATGACAAAAGAGAACTTAAGGACTTAAAAATAAATCTTTCCTTTTTATAAATTTAATTTTATAGTTCTTAGGGAAAAAAAATTAAAGTTCTTTATCTTTCTTAAACAGCTTTTCCCCATAAAGCACATATTCCAATCTCTAAATAATAAAGATGAACATAAAATGTGATTCTTACCGGAAACTCGATAGCAGTACTGAGTAATTTTTACATATACAAAGCCATTCCTTTAAGAGTATAGTGTTGAAGAATGGGCACAGTGGGGCTGCTGTTCTCTGTACTGGTAACTCAAAGAAGCAATAGATGTGATAAATGGGTACCTAGCCATTAGCGAGTTACCTACATCTTTTATTTTTTCCACCTGAAAATTCTACCTGCTTTTAACATGACAAATATTAAAATACTTTGAAATATACATACCACACATATCGGATTCTTCATAGTTAAAGAAAAAGAAGCCCGTATTGAAAAGATAATTAGCTTTGTAATTCAGTTAGTATTAGTGGTTAGTTTTTAAGTGTATAGCTAATCATTAGAAAGAATTTTATCAAACTGCTTTTAAAAAATAACTGCTTTAACAATTTAAAGAAAATAAAATGAAATGACCACGAGATGGCAGCATTGGAACAAAATTGGAAAAGTTATCACTTAAGAATTATATTTATTCCATATACTATCACGTCATAGTCAATTAGTCATTCTCATTACTTCATAACCAACTTTCTCTCATTGCTTTAAATACTCTTTATAAGCTGATGATTCTCAAATTTGGAATTCTTGCTTTATTCTCTCCTCTGAACTACAGTTCACATATCTAACTGCCCTCTTACCGTCTCCATTTAATATCTAATAGGTATCTCAACCTCAACAAAACTAAAATCTTCATATCCTCCCTCCCTCCCAAACACACGTTTATTTCAGGGTTCCCTTTCTAGTTAAGTGGTACCCATCAGTCAGTCCATCAGTAAAGCCTTCAGGCTCTATCTTCAGAAGGATGTATAGAATCTGGCTGCTTTTTACTATCTTCATCACCACCACCACCACCATCACCATAGTGTGAACCATCATAATTTTTTCCTGCACTGTTGGAACAGCCTCCTAAGTGGTTACTGCTTCCTCTTTCTCCTTGAAGTCAGTTCTCCGTACAGCAGCCAGAGTAATCCTTTTAAAAGATCGTATCACTTCCCTATTCGGAACCCTCCAAATGGCTTTCTAGCTAATTCAGAATAAAATTCAGAGTCTATTCCAGGGCCTTAGATTTCTGGCCCCTAGTTGTTTCATTGATTCATCTCCTACCAGTACACCCCCTCACTCTTTCTGCTTCAGTTCCACTGGCCTCCTGCTTATTTCTAGAGCATCAGGCACATCTTCACCTTAGGGCCTTTGTGTGTGTTGTTTTCTCTGCCCAGAGTACTTCCCCAGTTACCCACATGGCTTACTCCTTCACATGATCCAGTTTCTGTTGGACTATGACCTTAACAGAAAGGCCTTCCCTGACCACCTGTGTAAAGTAGAACCCCAACCTAGTCTCTCTCTCTACTTTTCTTGACTTATTCTTCTCAAATGACATCCTATTTGTTTTACCCGTTCGTGTGTTTATTGTCTGCCTCTCCCCATTGAAATGTCAACTATGAGAACTTGGACTTTGCCTGTTTGTTGACTACCGTTATCGCCAGCACATAGACAAGTATCTAACACATAGCAGACATTTAACAGTTGTTTGTTGAATAAGTGAAAAGAAGGAAAAGAACGAAGAGAGAGGCTTAGGAATTCCTAAAAAGGAAGGGCCTACAATACAAGAATGTTCCTGGAACAGTGGAATACAGAAGAGAACCTCCAGGCAGTTTCCTCTGAGTGTCTGGTCTTCAAAATTGAATGGTCCAAGTCTTCATTTGAGGTGTTGCAAAAGCACTAAGATTTAAAATTAATTTCCTCTGGGAGAAAAAAGAGTTTTCTTCTCATTATCAGGAACTTATCAACTTTATTAACGAGGAACTATATTAAAACTCTCTTAAGACGTAACAAATGAAAATGATCTGAGACTTTGTCAACATCAGTCTTATTATCTGCTTCAGAATTTTGATGTAATTTTAACTGATTGAGAAATTGTGTTACAAGTGTATTGGTATACACTTGGACTTGTGTTACAAGTTTATTACAAGTGTATTGGTTACACTTGGACTATTACTAAGAGGTCACTAGTTGAATCTTGACATTAGTTTTGTTTTCTTTGTTGTTTTGGTCATGACTTTTTCTTACTGCCTTTTTTCTTGTTAATATTTCATTAAGTTTTGTTTATTAAATTTGTTCTAACCCCATTTGCAGAGGTAAATAAATTATATTATCATTCTCCTGACAGGAAAACAGCATCATCCTAAACGGAACTGTGATGGTTAGCACAACTCGTCTACCTAGTTCCTCCAGTGGAGACCAGTTTGGTACTGGCGACTGGGTGCGGTACAAGCTTTGCATGTGTGCTGACGGAACTCTCTTCAAAGTACAAGTAACAGGCCAGAACATGGGCTGCCAAATCGCAGACAACCCCTGTGGAAATACTCATTAGAAGAACCTGAGAGGTCATCAGTATGTTTATATCTTGACTTGACTTTTTTTTTAAGTATGCATGCAAATCATGTTTTTACAGAGTTTGTGATACCTGGTAATTGTTTTATCTGCAGAGCGCTACTGTATCTATTATATATAATCTCCATATTTAAAATGTTCTCAGAGAGCCTAAATTCTAATACATTTTATTAAGTTGCACTGATCTTCAAATTATAGTTCTCTAAAATAATTATCAGAAGTGAATAAATCAAAATTAATCTTGAAAAATGTATTTTTAAAATTCCACTATTCCTGTCTAAAGGATAAAGGGCTGAAGCAACTGTTTAAACTTACTCTAAGTAAGCTTTTGGTAACTAATGGGGATAGACCCACTTAAGATACTTAAAAGCTATGCCGTCAATAAGTGTTACATGCTCTGTCTTTTGGCTTCTAAGAAGAAAGACAGATTTTTAGTGCATTAACTTTCAGCCATATTCTCATATGCAAATGAAGTCATTAAAGAACTTCACATATGTGAGATAGTAAGAAACTATGGTTCCCTAGTTTTGCACTAGGAAGAAAATAGTCTGTAATAAAATGTTTATTTGTTAAATATAGATAAATATTAAGCGTTCACAATGTGGTAGAAATTAAAATACCATCTCAGCTTTAACTTTTAGCTAATGATAATAACTGTCATTTACTAAGCATCTTACACATCCTAGGCATTGCATATGTAATATCTCTAATTCTCACCGGAACTCTGAAAGTAGGTGTTGTTATCCCAGTTTTACCCATTGGGAAACTGAGGATCGGTTAAGGAACTTGCCTAATATTACATAGGAAATAGCAGAGTTGGGATTGAGATTTAGGTGTGAGACAAACTTCACTGCACCTGCCTCCAAATATCATGTTCTTTTCACTACCTGCACTGTAGTTTTAATTATTTAAAACTCTAGAAAGATAAACAAAGACTAATTCAAACTTACAGATTACAATCAAAGCAGGTATGCTTACTCTAGTTAAAAAATCAATCTCTTGTTGAAAAGAAAATGTCCAATTCCTGTTAGATTTTAAACTATCCTAAGCCAATTCCAAAATATACTATAGAGAGGTCCAATTGGCCTGATTATGGGTGACCCCAGTTTCCTGACTGTTGGGCCCTGGTACATCGGAGTACCTGAATTGGAATAAAGGGTTGCCAGAATATTTATACCCTTAGCCCTCAGGGCAACACAATAAGAAGTGGGGGGGCCATGGCCCCATGCAAGTCCTGCTGACTAGTGTGCACCATATAAATACCACTCTTAATGTGTATCATGCCTGGAAAATAGGTGGGAAGCACTAGACTAAACCGCAGAAGATAATTATTCAGGAGATAATACAAATAATTTTTAAGGAGGTATGAGACTTGATCTCTACTCCTAATATTTCCATCCCATTGCAATCATTTACAACCCTCAAGTCAGTTTGTTTTTAAAAGTATTTTACATTTAACTTGAGAGGAACTCTGGTATTATTAAGACATATACAACATCAGGGGCAGAGACTTCAAAGTTGTTTGCTATAAAGTAGGTCGTGGTCATAAATCATAGGCCCCAGTCCGCATTCAAGTATAACAGTATTCTGTCTTGGCCATTTTGAACTGTGTGGATAAGAAAATCAATCCAAAAAACAATTTGCATGCAATATTGTTACAGTTCTCTCTGACAGAAGAACTTGATGCTTTAGAGATTATGAATAGTCATTGAAAGATACTAAAATAGAAATTGATTTACTACATGGTACTGAGTGCAGCTTTTAAATGAATAAAAAAGAGTGAAATTTATAACCTCTGAGTGTTATTAGTTGTAGTGATATTCAGAAGCTATTTTAATATATTCAGTATCATTTAATATCTGAATGATATCCAGAAAAAATCCATTGGAATTTTCATTCAAATGCTCAGTATATTTTTTAATTTTAAGTTCATTAAATTTAAGTTCTGCTCTATTTTGATTTGTTTTGAAAATTTCTTTAAATAAATATTTTTATAAAAATTACAGAACACTGTTACAATGTATTATTTATTGAATTCATGAAATCTACATTTACTCCTCTTTGAGAAATACTTGTGTTTTTGATACATCTCCATTAAGTGCTTTTTCACTGAAATGTAGACCTGAAAAATTCAGTGGAAAGCAGATCAAAAACAAACCGTCCGTTTTACCTGCGACCCATTTTGCATAACAGCAAAGCTTCAGCTACCCATTCTCTCCTCCAGATAGTATTTTTCTATAAACTGTAATGTTAACTTTCCTCTTTCTGCTGATTGTTCCTCCCCTACATTGAGCACTGATGTGACAAGCAGCAGCCAAGGAGAGGTAGATAACAAAGACACCTTTGTCTAAAGAACTGCGGTACTTCAGAGGTGGATTACAATGGTGAGGGAGACAAATGAAATAAAAGCAAGATATTTTCAAGACTCTAATGGACAGATAGGAAAAATGCAAAACAACGCAAGATGGGGGCAGCCTATATATGGCCTGCAATATTTTAAAATATATTTATTTGTATCTTTTTTGCATCAGGAAAAAACAAATTTTGTATAATAGTTCTGATTATTAAAGTTGGAAGTTCTACCTATTTTTGAATGAGGTTTTTTGTTTTTTTTTTTTTTTTTGAGAGTAAGAATGTTCTGGTGTTAAACTTGACAAAAAAAGACCATTGAAATGCTGATAATTTTAGTAATCTTTTAAAAAGTGTTGATGGGGCAAAAATTACAAATCATGTCATACAAAAATCAACCTATAAATCTGTTTAAGATTGCTAACTTGAGTTTCATTTAATTTAGTTTGTAATAACTATTAATGACCTCTGTTTACAATAAAGATTCTGTCAATTGCTGTTAATTTTTTAATGGTTAAAACATTAGCAGGTTTCTACCTAATCGATACAAATATGATGAATTTAAACATAGTTTGAGAATGGGACATCATGAGTATTTCTGTAACCTCTCTGGAATCCCGGAACTCAAAGTTAAAAGTTGTACAGTCTCAGTTTGGATAGTCCCACCCTCTGTGCGTTGCAGAAGGCCTCTCTCCGGTGGCTCCTCCCTCAGTATCCCAGGGGAATGTGCACGCTGTCACTGTGGCAAGAGGCCAGAGCCTGGTAATGAAAGTGGGTGAAGGCTCCCACAGGGCAGGCTCCATGGGCAGGTGGGTGGAGCCTCACAGGCTGTCTAAAATTCCCACCTGGCTTGATCCCAGATAGAGACTCATTTGAAAACTACCTAAGGATCATAAGGTATGCCTTAGAAAGTATATTACTGTTGTGTTCTTTCTACAGCTTAAAAAAATATCCTCTTCTGCTTTTTTTCTTCTAATTATTTTAACTTCTCTTCCTTTTAAATAAGAATGGACTCTTTATTTCCTTTCTACTTTCTGTTTTTTCTACTGCCCTCTCCCTATCTCTCTCTCACTCTCTGACACACACGCCCAGAAGTTTTAACTGCTTCCTCATACTTCTGCTTGAATATGTCCATTTAAAAGATTTACATTTTATCTAATTGTTTTCAATTAACTCAGAAAATTTTTTTGGATTTCTCAGGGGTTCCTTACCTGATACATATAAGTTTATATGTAGAATATATAATTTTTCTTTATAAAATAATACCTTTCACTGTAAGACATAAGATTATCATTACCTAGCTCTTATGAACTCAAATCTATTAGTGAATATACAGATCTCTTCAAGTTAGAAAGAACCATGTCAATGAAAATCTTTAATTCATGTCCCCTTAAGAATAAGTATTTTTCAACCATGTGTTTCTCTTCAAGGCTGCAAAGTAATATGCTTATGAATTACTTTTTTTGTCATTGCTGATATTGTTACATTAGCTTGGTATACAGTTGTATATATAACGATTGCAGCTTTGAACATAGAAACAAATACCTTACTGTACAAATCAATTCAATTTCTGGTATTATGTAAGAGGTACACTATAAAAATAAATCACTTCTCCATGCTTCAGGGCACCTTTGCAGTTCATCACTATGTATAACCTGAATTTAGATGCCCTTCAAAATATGGGAGAATTGACCTAGTATGAAACCAAAGCTAAAGGTTACATGGTAAATTTCATTCACTTCATACATTCATTTATAAACCATGGGAAAACATATACGTGTGTGTGTATATACATACATACACTCAAAACTTATAGTTCTAGTCATTAAAGAAATCAAGAATCTCTTGTGAGTTAAAAACAGACACAAAGCAAAGAAATAGCAATGCAAGATAATACCGATATTCTTTCAAACCATGTTACTAACATGCATTCATTCATTCAATAACTATTTACTGCAAGATTTCTGAAAACAAACAAAATAGAGGCTAAAGCTAGAAAAAGGGTCTTCAGGCTACAGGATTTGAGATGTAAGGATATGTAGGATATGGCCGAAGAGAGGAAAAGGCAGTGAGCTTGGAACTGGAAATGAACTAAAAGCTAATTTTAGCATGAGATGTACACATACAGTTCCGTGCACAGCCACATCTTGTAGCTGTTCCACATGTACTTATCTAACTAGTTCACAAGTTCAGCCAGATAACGTAATCTTGAATGTCAACCTGAGGGGTTTGGACTATAGGCACGAAGGAGCCCTTTGAAGATGTTGAATGAGGGAAGAATATGAGGAAAACAGTATTATGGAGAAATAACCATTCAGAATCTCAGGCTGGACCACGAAAGAGGACAGTCGAGAGGTAGTGGCAGGAAAAACAGTTAAGCCACTCTAGCATTTCGGATTAGTGATGAGAACAATAGTGCCAAACCCATCAGAACAAAAAGGGACATTTTGTTGCAAACCTACATACTGAATAATGTGGTTGTTTGTATGCTCTCTGGTTTTTTAATGGAATTTAGTTTAAAACAAATCTCAAAAGTTAATTTTCTTTAAAAAAAATTTTTGTGTATATATTTAGCCATTGAAATTTGTAGATACTTATTTTAAAACTTTCAGTTGCTTCCCAAGAAACTTTAGTGACAAAGGTACTTGATATTTCTATATTTTATTATATCTTAATGGTTATGAAGCAGAACATCTTTTTTTATAACTCATTTTATTTATGTTGAATGTATCTAAATGATTTCAAAAGGATTTGAAAAGTCACAAAGACAAAGCTTATAGTTTTTCTAGTCATTAAAAAAAAATCAAGAGTCTCTTTTTGTGAGTTGAACTTTCAACCCATACAGTTCCACAGTTTAGTGTATTTGATGGCTTGTCACTCACATAATAAACCATGTGGCTGATTACAGTGTCATAGATAAGCATAACAGACTTTGCTCAGTACTCAGGACCAGCAAGGAAGCAGAAACATCTTTAATCTTGATAGGATTCCCTCACTCCAAAGCTGACTGCGGTGGATGATTCTGGAAAAGCAGACACAGAGGTGAGGCCAAAGTAAATATGTATTTTCTGAAAAATCAGGAGAGTTATTTTTTTAGAATGTGACATAAATGTAACTGTATACTTCAGCTATATCATTTCGGTAGCTACATTTTAATGTCTCAATTTCTAAGAAATTCTAAGAAACTTCTAGGAAATCAAAGATTCACTTACATTGGCAATCAAAGCAAGATAATTTTCTTATATCTTAAATCTAAATTAAATTTTCTGCTTTGCTGTTAGTTTTTACATAAGTTGTTATAAATAAGTCAATTCATTTTCCTTTCTCCAGGCACTATGAAAAACCTATGTTTCAGAGTCATTGCCATAGCTATAAGTCTTTATTTTCCTGGAACAATGACAAACCCAACAAGAAAAAGCAGTATTTTATTCAATTCTGAGTGCCAATGGAATGGATATCTTCTGACAAATTGTTCTTTTACTGGAAAGCCTGATACATCTGTGGACATATCACAAACAGCAGCCACAGTGGATGTAAATTACAATTTCTTTAGGGTGCTCTTACAGTTTCCCACGAAAAATGAATGGAATATAAAACATCTGGACCTCAGTAACAATCTCATATCGAAAATAACCATAAACCCTCGTGCACATTTACATGCTTTGGAAATATTAACCCTCAACAATAATGCCATTCACGCCATCTTGTTGGCTCTACCTAGTCCTAAGTCCTCGTCAATGAAACGCCAGAGAAGCAACTTGAGAAATGGGCTTCTATTTCTGAAATTGCTAATTCTTCAAAGAAATAAACTCAGTGACATTCCCGAGGGTAAGTACAATCTTAAAAGATGGACTAGATCAAGAAACAATGAGTGTGTGGAGAGTTAATATTTTATGTCAATAAGAATTCCATGTTTGTTTTCAGTTTTGAGGAAACACCTGAAAGTAAAACAATTTGATAAGAGCAAATATAATAAGAGGAGTTTCTTCACAGAATTTGCAGTTATGTGGAATTTATGGTTGATGTAATTTAACCTCCCATTACTATAATTTAATGTTATATGAATTTGTCGAGAGACACTAGGAAGTATGTAAGTGCTGAATAATAATACATGATTTAAAATTATCTACTTTGATTATCATATATATATATATATCTGTGACTAAATATAGAAAAGCACTGAGAAATAAGTTACTTTTAATATGTATTACAAATCAGATTTAATGTGTTGCCATATTTATAATTTTTTTCTTAGAATATTTTTCGTGTCTACTTATTGAGTCATCTTCCAAATGTAGACTAGAAATATGCTAATATTATACATTAATATGTAAACTTTCTCATTATCTAATAAAAATCAGAATTCCTTACCTTGGTTTCTAACAGGATACTCCACATACCCTCTTATTTTTTTCCCCACATACCCGCTTATAATAACTTCTCATCAATTCTGACATTTAATAATCTACTACATGTTGGAGTTCCTTAACTAATCCACAAGTGTTTTATTTAGAAATGAATCGGGTTCATTAGCCAGAGCTTCATTGGCCCTGTTTGTTTCTTTTTACATTCAGGAGTGCTGGACGATTTCCTTTCCTCATTTGTTTTCAGTCTTGGTCACTGTTTGCTAAGTACTTACTTTGTATAAGACACTATGCTAAAAAATAAAGTGTAAAAACATTAATATTTTTCTCTATCTCAAATTATGCATATTTAGTTTTTCTCATTTTTCAGTTCTTTTTATTCTTTTTCTCTAGCTTCTGGTCTTGTTTTAAGCATCATTTTGACAATAATAGCCTGGCAGGAATCACTATTCCAGCAATCATATCAGCAGAATTATGTGAGAAGGGTAGGAGTCTTCTCTCCCTGACATTTTCCATAAAACATTTTATGGAAAAAAGTGTAATAATATCAGTGTAAAGTGTAAATTAATTGCAATTTGTTTTATAATTTTTATTATACTGCTCTTATTATAAAAAGAATACCTGTTAGTTGTAGAACATTAGGATTTAAAGAAAATTTTTAAGGAAAAAATTAAAGTCCTTCATGTAATATATACTCTTGAAGTTTTTCACATCTACATACGTATTTTTATTTGAAATGGATCATGTTGCATAATATTTTATAACTTGTATTTTCATGTTACAGAATATTTTGAACATTTTTATTTAAGCGATCTCATAAATGATATTTTAAATAATTTTCATATATACATATAACTGGTTTAATCAAACAACATTTAAGTTCTTCCCCTTCTGTTTTCTGTAACTCTTTGATGAACATCGTTATAGCTACTCATATCCATGATAACATATGTTTTAACTAGTATGGTTGATGTGAATCTCAACCCACAAATTTAAGTGTACTAGAGATCTAAGCTTGTACTGTCCATAACTCAACGTAGTTTCTGATTCTAAGCCTTCATTCTCCTAGGATCAGTTGGGGGTGGGCTGTAAGGTACTTGTACTTAACATAAATCTTTCATGAGTTTTCCTGTGCCTTTTTCCAGATTTGTACTACAGCTCTAGAATCTTATACCCTGACAAGGTATCAAAGTGTGTGTGTGTGTGTGTGTGTGTGTGTGTGTGTGTGTGTGTGTGTGTGTGTGTCCCTTACATCTGCTACCCAAAGAACATTTCCTTTCAGTCTTTTCAGTTTGGAGAAAATTCTTCCCCCTGTTGTTTCTTCAAAATCATCTGTCTGGTTCCAGAAATTCCTTTCCTCTAAAGATTTAGGCCTTTGGAAAACAAAAGCCAGAAAGGCTTGTAGGCTCCTCTGTGTTGTGCCTTGCAATTGTGCCTCCCCTGGGACAATTAACACAGAGCCTACTTTCTGCTTGAAAGAAAGGGAA